TAAATGGAACACACAAAAAATTAGTATTCAGATTTATTGTAGTTGTAGGATCAGGTAAATTCAGCTGTCATGTATGATGTGCTTTTGATAATCTGAAGAACTTGGGTTTGCTGTGTAAACAATTCATACAAATAAAGTAAGCATTTGTCATTTATTAGATAATGAGTGATAAGTACAAAACAGCTTTTAAAGATTGCTTTATATTCAGTAAGTTAGAAAAGCACAAATACCAAGTCTTAGAAATGTTTTGGGGCTGGGCAGTTGTAGTTGTAGCCTTTCATCTCTGCTCTCGGGAGGCTGAGGCAGGCAGATCTTTGTGAGTTCGAGGCCAGCCTGGTCTACAAGAGTTAGTTCCAGGACAGTTTTCCAAAGCCACAGAGAAACCCTGTCCCAAAAATCAAAACACAAAAGAAAAAAAAGAAATTTTTTTATATAATTGGTGACATTATAAATGATCGGTTTTTTTTTTTTTTTTTTTTTTTTCCCCTGTCTTTTATTTTTGTTTCAAAACAGGGTTTCTCTGTGTAGCCCCTGGCTGTCCTGGAATTCAGATTTGCCTGCCTCTGCCTCCCAAGTGCTGGAATTAAAGGCTACTCTGCCGCTGCCTGGCATAAGTGTGTTCTTAAAAATTTTTTTTGGATGCCAAGTAACAGTGATCTATACCTAGAATTGTGGCTATTTGGAAGACTGACATAGAAGGATCACTTGAAAACTAATGTAGATAGCACAGTAACAAACCATCTAAAGAGGGAAAAAAATTAGCAAATTATCCTAAAATCATCACCAAGTAGAATTTATGAAAATATGTCTGTTTCTGCATATTTTAAATAAGAAAGTGTTAGACTCCATCTGAATACCTAACATTAGCTAACTTATATCAAATATTCAGTTAAGGCAAAAAACCAAAAAGTAGCTTACTATGATACAGCGTATCATAGTAAAAATCCAAATTATTAATGGTTTAGGATGCTGGGGTTATACTTACTAAATTTTATTTTCTAATTTAAAAAGGTAATTTCTACTTTTTTAAAAAAATTATTATTATTCTTTCACCTTCCAAAACAAATTTGTAGGGTGGTGTATTTCTTCCTTCATATTAGATACATCCTTTAAATGACAAATTGTACCTTTCTTTAAAAAAAAAAAATCTGTGTGTGTGTGTGTGTGTGTGTGTGTGTGTGTGTGTGTGTGTGTCAGACAGAGAGAGTACATACACTTGAGCATGCATGTGCAAATATCACAGTTTGCAGTAAAGTGCAGGGTCAGCTGCTCTTGCTTCTACAGGCCAGTCTAGGAGATTTCTCCGTCTCCATCTCTTGATTTAATGTAATACTGGGATTGCAGATACCTGCTGCCACTAACGCTTTTTACACGGGTTGCAGGCATTGAATTGAGGTAGCTAAGGTTAAAAGGTGTAGTGTTTTACCTACTGAGCCACTTCCTTGGCTCCTTACTTTTTCTACCCATGTAGTTCAGCGTTGTTAACATCATTTAAGAATAACTTGTTTTGTTTTGAAATAAGACAGCATCCAGCTAAGTCCTTAATATGTGTTTAAATGTTATTTAATCATAATCCACATCCAGAAAACTGTATTAAATGTAAACTTAAGAGTTTAAGAAAATACTGTACATGCTGGCAGTGGTAGCCCAGGTCTTTAATCATAGCACTGGAGAGGCAGGGAAAGGCGGGTGAATCTATATGAGTTCAAGACCATCCTGGTCCACAGAGCTAGTTCCAGAACAGCCAGAGCTGTTTCACAGGAAAAACCCTGTCTCAGACAAACAAAAGAAAATGTACTGTACAAGGGGACTAGGGAAATGTTCAATTTCTACAGTTCTTACAGCACAAGCATGAGGAATTGAGTTCAGATCTCTAGCGACCATGAAAAAGGTGTATAGTAGTATGTGCCTATTTTCACAGTGTTGAGGTGGAGGCAGGAAGGATACCCTGAGTTTACTCTTAAAGCATAAATCTATTTTTCATTATTAGTAATCAAAATCTACTCAGTTGTTTTTGTCTTGCATCTTTTTTAAAATTAACAATATTTTAGATTTATTTTTATTTTGCCTGCATGTATATCTGTGCACCACATGTATGCCTGGTATCTTTGGAGGCCAGAAGAGGGGGTTGGATTCCCTGAAACTGGAGTTATAGTTGAGCCATGCTAGGAATAGAACCTGGGCTCTCTGGAAGAGCAGCAAGCCATCTCTCCAGCCCTTCTGTGTAGCAGGCTTTCTTGGTTGGACCACAGACCACCTACCACATCAAGACAGGCAGACTTGAAATTATGAATGGTTGGCCTTATGTTAATACTTGTCCCACTCGCTATTATAACTTAATTTAACCTGTTTCTCTTCATCTACATTTTGCTTCAGGGCTTTTTACCTTTCATTCTGTATGTTCTACTTTTCCTGATTCTGAGGCTGGCTGGCCAGCCCCAGGCATCTCCCTGCTTTCCCCTTCCCTACCCCCACCCCCAATCTAGATTTCTCCTACTTATTTCCTCTGCCTGCCAGCCCTGCTTATCCCTCTACTGCTTAGCTATTGGCTGTTCAGCTTTTTATTAGACCAATCAGGTGCCTTAGGCAGGCAAGGTAAAATATTCAATACATCTTTACATAAACAAATACAGCATAAACAAATCTAACACACCTTTACATAGTTAAAGTAATACTCCACAACTCTGTCTTAAAGTTGATGTTTCTTTTCACTGTGAGCTTGTTTGAAATGTGTTCATGAACAGACTGAATTATTTGCTTCCTAAGCAAATAATATTTAATGATTTTTTTTAAACTGAAATTTGTAGGTGGTAGACCTAAAATTTCTGAAAATGCAGATTTACCTAGAAATAGAAAACCAATTTAATTGTTCTTGAACTGGAGATGGCTCAATGAAAGCAGTTGCCTTGCAACCCTGACAACCCAACTTCCACACATACATATTTTTTCCCTTTCTCTCAAGAAAGGATTTCTCTGTGTAGCACTGGTTATCCTGGAACTCACCCTATAGACCAGGCTGACCTGGAACTCGCAGAGATTCACCTGCTTCTTCCCAAATGCTGGGATTAAATGTGTGTGCTGCAGCTTCAGCCAAATATTTTTAAAAATTGAGTCTAGTTATAGGACAGGGGTGGGTGAAACTGAACACGAAAGCAACTGAAACTTCTTTTCTAAACTCATCCTCTACAATAAGTGAAATCTTATTTTAGAATTCTCAACTAAAGATTTTTAGATTTGAAAATCATAAACATTTTTATTTTCTGGGTGTGTTTGCTTACATGTATATGTACTTTATGCCGTGACCTTGGAGGCCAGAAGACTGCATCCACCTCTGTAACTGGAGTTAGACAGTTGTGAGCCTCCATGTGGATGATATGGCTGAACCTGGGTCGTCCACAAGAACAACTGCTCTTAAAAATTACTGGGCCATCGCTTGAACCCTGTTCCCCATCATAGATATTATATATTTTTTTCATGCTGTTTTGTAATCTTTTATGGACATCATTTCAGTTGCCTCTTAGTAACTCCTTACCATTACTGAGGATGTGTTGATACTCTATCATTGTGGGACTAGGTTAACAAACTGATATCTCACTGTCGTTTTCCTGCCCATGAGCACTATTAATGTGATAGAAGGCTACACATCTAAAGAAATAGGTACCTATCTAACTCAACCCTAACCCAGTCAAAGTGAGTATTAGTGACATTTTAATTTGTTTGGCTAAAATTCAGATTAACCTCAGTATGATCTGGGTTCTTAATAACAAAGCATTTGAAATGTGTATATGCTTAAAAAGAATGGCTCATGTGTCACAACTTTTGGTTTATCACAAGCTGGTATGATTTTGACTGTTTCCTGGGTGAAGAGATTGAGTTGTAGTTTCAAGCTTACATGTGAGCATCTGTATCACTTTTTATCTACTGAAAAAAAAAATTAAAAGAGTAAATGAGACTGAAAAGTTGCAGTCAAATGCTTATTTTGCTGGACTGTTAATTGGCTTTACGAGGAAAAAAAAGAAATTCTGACACAAGCTACAACACTGACAAATCTTCACAACTGTTGTGTTAAGTGACCTAAGCCAGGGCAGATGCTGTATGATTGCATGTGCATGGAGTACCTAGAGTAGGCAATTCATGGAGGAAGAGAATGGTGGTTGCCAGGGCCTGGGAGGAAAGGTGATACGGGATCTCACTGTAAAATAAGTGTAGTTAGTACATGGAAATGACGAAAAGTTATGAAAATGGATGGTAGTGCCACACTCAAATTATTAAAACTGTATTTTGTACATTTTATCACAGTGAAACATACTCTTAATCTGAAAGTTAAAAAATAAGAAAACATGAAATCAGACTCATTGGCTAAGTGTAGACATAAACAATTTTTTTGTTTTTCGAGGCAGGATTTCTGTGTGTAACAGTCCTGGCTCTCCTGTCTTGCTTTGTAGGTCAGGCTGGCCTCGAATTCAGGGATCTGAGTGTCTCTGCCTCCCGAGTGCTGGGATTAAAGGTATTCGCCACCAAACAAACAACACAAGAAAAGCTATAATTTTAGTGATCTTAGTAGTATGAATTTAAAAAGGTTTTCTTCATTTTAAGCCAGGTAGTGGCACAGCCAGGCAGTGGTGGCACACACCTTTAATCCCAGCACTCAGGAGGCAGAGGCAGTCAAATCTCTGAGTTTGAGGCCAGCCTGGTCTACAGAGCGAGTTCCAGGACAGGCCCCATAATAAGTTCCAGGTCAGCCACTCCTACCTAATAAGACCCTGTATCCAAACACACACATGTATATGTGTGTGTGTGTGTGTGTGTGTGTGTGAGAGAGAGAGAGAGAGAGAGAGAGATATGGTTGTGTATATAAGCAATTAATTACTTAGTTAATTTCTGTAGGCCAGTTAAAGACTTAGCATGTCATAGTGTTTGGAGTGCCTGATATAAATTATGAAACTTTGTTTTTAATATGGACACTAAATCCTTTTTTTTTTTTTTCTTTTTAATTTCAGTAAAAAGTCCCAGAAGTGGGATGAAATGAACATCTTGGCAACGTATCATCCAGCTGATAAAGACTATGGTTTGATGAAAATAGATGAGCCAAACACTCCTTACCACAAGTAATAAGACATAGATATCCATTTGCATTGATATAATTTCTAAGTAACAGAAACTTTAAATTGTTTTATTTATCTATTTATTTTGTTTTGGGGGGGTAGGATTTCTTTGTGAAACAGCCCTGGTTGCCATGTAACTCACTCTGTAGGTCCTGAGGTCTACAGTGGTCACAGAGGTAGATTCTCCTGCTTCTGCCTCCTGAGTGCTGGGGTTAAAGTCATGTGCCACCACAGCCTAGCTGTTTTATGTTTCTTACCAGAGTGCTAGCTAATAGCCTACCTGAATACATTTTTGTTAATAATCTGTAACTTCACATTATTATTGTTGTAGTCAATGTTACTACACCTGTGAATATTATTACACCTGGGTGGTGGTTGGCTGCTAATACACACAAATTAGTGAGTTTTGTCTTCTTTTCATTGCTGTGATTTTTATTTATGTGTGTGTATGATGTATGGAGGTGTATGAGGAAGAAGTCAGATCCCTTGGATCTGGAGTCAAGGTCATATGAGCTGCTTGATGTGAACAAAGAGACTTAATCTCAGGGCCTGAAAGCAAGCACTTTCAACTGCAGACCCATCTCTCAGCTCCAAATCCAATTTTTTCATCTTTGAAAGGTAGATGAGGCTTGATATATTATTTTTGCTCCCCAATTAGAAATCAGAGACTTGCTTTGCAAAAAGGAAAAGCTACACAGATGACAGATAGTTTTGATTTCTTATTTTGTATAATGTTATAATTCTGATAGAATGATTTTGACATTTTAATTCAATTTTTATTTTTTATTTTGAAATATGATCATGCATTATATTTCAGGCTGGCTTGGAACTTACCACATAGCTTAAGCTGGCCTTGAAGTCAGAGTAATCCTCCTGTATCAGCCTGCAGAGTGCTGAGATTACAGGGTGTGAGCCACCAGGTCCAGTTAGGATTTTAAAAAAGTGATATTGTATAGTGATATCCAAAAGACATTAAATTATTCAATAATAAGCAAGTTTGAATGTTATATATTTGATATTACATATCGTGTTTTTTTCTTACCTATACTTATTGTAGAACTAAAGAAAGGTAACTTGGCCACTAACAGGCTTTGTGTGCTTAGCTTTTTATAGTTCGGCACTCAGTGTTACCATTACTTCCATGAGATTGGTTTTGTTTTGGTTTGGTTTGGGTTTGGTTTTTTTGAGATAGGGTTTCTCTATATAACAGCCCTGGCTGTCCCAGAACTTGCTTTGTAGACCAGGCTGGCCTTGAACTCATTTGCCGAGGGCTGGGATCAAAGCTGAGCGCTACCACCACATGGCGTGTTTTGTTTCTTTTAAAACATTTTATTTAACAGCAATCACAAAAATGTTTTTTATAAAAAGACCATGTTAAACTAAGAACCTCATATTGTTAGTGTACATAATAGTTTATAATTATATATGTGTGTGTATCCACACACACACACACACACACACACACACACACACACACAATTTGTTTGTAACCTAGAATTTTCTGTTGAACATTGCTACAAGTCAACAAATTATAGTTCTTATATCCTACTCAAATCCTAAATGTTCATGGGATTTTTTTGTGTTTCCTTGGATAAATGTATAAACCAGCAGGCTTTTATTAGATCTTTAGGGTCTGTATTAGTTTGCTTTCTCACTGCTGTGACAAATACCTGGAAGAACAAAACTGAGAGGATTTCCGTTATTCTGACTCATGGTTTCAAAGGGTCATGGTGTGTCTGTTGGTGGTTGCTTGACCCCTGCACTTAGGGTAGAACATCATCATCACAGAGGAAAAGTGTGGTCGAGAATTTTTAAAATATTTTTATCTTTGAGAATTCCATATATTTCTATCATATTCTTGCTCATCCTTAGTTTCTTCCAGATCTTCCCACCTCCCTACTCACCAACTTCATGTTCTTTCTTGAGAGAGAGAGAGAGAGAGAGAGAGAGAGAGAGAGAGAAGAGAGAGGAGAGAGAGAGAGAACAGAGAACAATCAATGAAGTCCGGTGACCTTTTTCCTCCAACTAGGTCCTACCTCCTGCCTTGCACAAATTTCTAATAATGCCATCCTGAATCTTTCAAAGGATTAATCTGCCATTTGAGCAGAAGAGCCTTTGTGATCTGATATTCTCTGGGGATGTAATCAGAAACCTACTTAGAGCTGTGCTTCACTAATTCCTTAGGCCCTTTTTATCCCTTTTTTCTTTTCCTCTCAGATTCATTGATTTATCAGCTGTTTGGTGAGATAATTGGAGGGATATGAAAAAGCTACATATGAGAACAAACAAAAAAGCTACAATGAGCCCACCAAAAAATCTCAGAGTAGAAGAGAAACTTGTATATATGGGCACTCCTGATTCTGTCACACTGTATAAGAGGATTAATCCTGCACCCTGCTCTGGAAGCTCTTTGGTAGGGTTTCCACAAAGGAGAGGCCACCTGGATCTGTTTCTATGCATTTATTAATCCAGTGACATCGGCAATCAGAGTTAACCGCCACAGGGTCTGTTTATTTTTTCTAGACTTAAGTTTATGTAGACCATTTCTTCCTTAATGGTGATATATAAACACAAATTTGAAAACCGGCTGAGCATTCTCACTGCCTAATTGTAATTCCAGTAATCACAAATTTGAGACCAGCTGGGCTGCACAGCAAGACTATTCCCTCTCAAAACACTAAAACCGATTTGTCCATCTGCCTCATTAGATATAAAATTTGACAATTTTAGGGGTTCCCCCCCCCAGATAATAAGAGTTTTCAATATTTTATGGTTGCTTTTTTTTTTAAAAAAGCATTATCATTTTTTATTCTTGAAGATTGAACTAGAACCTTATGTATGTCTGGCAAAGACTACCACTGAGTTACATTCCCAGCCCAGTGCTATGCCACTAATTACATGTATTGAGTAGGAACTATTTTTAAAATTAAATTTCAGAGATGACAACAAATTTCTAAATAATTAAATAATAAAATTGTTTTCTATTTTGGTTTTCTTGCTATACAATTTTATTTTTTATGTATCAGTTTTAATAATGGGCTTGTTGTCCTAGTATGATAGGTGATGATGAAGATGCCTATAGTGACTCGGAAAGCAACGAAGTCATGACTCCAGATGTCTTAGCTAAGAAGTAAGTACTAAAACATTTCCCATAGGGAGTTTTAATTGTGCAAAGTCATGTTCTACTTGTACATTTGTAAATGAAAGACTAAGCTTACTAGGTTTGGGGATTTACGGACACTTGAACCCAGGGCTACATGTTAAATACTTGCTTTAATTACCACTGAGTAAGATTCCTAGGCCTAAACTAGATTTTTATAGCAATCATTACAATATTGTTTCTTAATTAATATCACTCTAGGCAAGTGGTGGCAGGGTTAGAGTGCCTGAACCTGGGAATACTTCAGTCTGTTTTTCTTTTGTGGTGGTGGTATTTTTAAATATCTTGACATCTAGATGGTAAAAATGTGAGAAAGGCAAACATAAGTTACTGCTATTCATTGACTTCTAGCACTCTTTCTGCTGTCCTTGTTGCTTACTGGTCTCTATATTCATTCCTACTCTTTTGTTTCTTCATCAGTTATGGCTAGAATATTTATTGATTTATTTTGAGTGAGACATTTAAATAGTACAAGTATGTCACAGTTACTAATTTCTTCATGAATATTGTATAGATTAGCTGCTGCTGAAGGCTCGGAGCCAAAGTACCGGTCCCGGGAACAAGAGAGCAGTGGGGAGGAAGACGGCGACCTCTCCCCTGAGGAGCGAGGTAAGCTATTCCTTCAGTGTGATGCTAATACATTTGTTAAATAAATCTGTTTGAAAGATTGCACAGTTTCATATTTGGCAAGTGGTGAGCAGGAAATAAAAAGCAATAGAGAATAGAATCTAATTCAGATTCTACATGTGAATTTTTCATATAGGAGTATTTCCCACCAATTAGAAGAAGGAAGAAATACTACTGTCTTCCCAGAACTTATAACTATTCCTTTCTTTATATTTTTATTTGTGACCAATAAAAAGAAGATATTCAGTAACTACTTATGAAATGAATGCTTTTAGCATTATTGAGTATTCAAATGATCTTCAAGTGGATAGATTGCCTCATTGTGCCTTTTCTGTTTCAAGATAGCAATGAGGACTGGGGAGGTAGTGGGAAGAGTGCTTAACTAGCATGCACAGAGCCCTGAGTTTGAGCCCTGATTAAATAAACTGTGTGTTATCTATAATCACAATACTAGAGTGGTAAAGGCAGGAAGATCAGAAGGTCAGAACCTCATTCTTGGCTGTGTAGTAACTGCATGGTCATCCTGATCCACTTGAGACCCTGGAAGAAGAAGAAGAAGAAAAACAGTGAAATTTATCCAGAGATCCAAGGTGATAAAATAATGAAAATCTGTATAGATCTCATGGATCACAGAGTAGTGATGTCTTAGAAGAGAACCTAGAGCAGACCTCATTGCAGGATGGAAGGCTTTCATGTTCCAGACAGAATGTGGGTAGTTAAAGTAAGGCATTATTTACTATCTTTGTGTGTTTTGTTTGAATAGAACACTGGTCAGGTAGGAATATGGTTGGTGGGTTTTTTTTTTTGTTTTGGTTTGGTTTTTTTTGAGACAGGGTTTCTCTGTACTGCTGTCCTGAACTCTATAGACCAGGCTGGCCTCGAACTTACAGAGATCCACCTGCCGCTGCCTAAGTGCTGGAATCAAAGGTATGTGCCACCTACGCCTGGCTAGGAATATGTTTTATATTGCCTTTTTTTTTTTTTTTTTTTTTTTTTTGAGCCATGTGAATGTATCATCTTTTCAAGATAAAATTGGACTGGAGAGATGGCTTAGTGGTTAAGAGTGTGTACTTCTTTTCCAGGGATACCCAAGTTCAGATCCCAGCATCCCTGTCAGATGAGTCACAACTGCTGTTCACTCCAGCCTTGGGCACACAAGCACAATTTAAAAAATAATCTTGTTAGTTTTTCAAGACAGGATTTCTCTGTGTAACTCTAGCTATCCTGGAACTCACACTAGACTAGGCTGGCCTTGAACTCAGAGATGGCTCCTGCCTCTGCACTGGGATTAAAGCTTTGTACCACCAACGCCCAGCTAAAATATAAATATTTAAAAGAATATAGAATACCCAGTTGGCTATTGGGATCTTCAGGTTTTAACCAACAATTATTCAGAAATACTGGAAGGAAGAAAAATAAGCCCAGACTGAACAAGGATAGATGTGTTTGTCTTGTCATTATTCCCTAACAATACAGCTCAGCATTTAACCTAGAAATGACTTAACATATAAAGTATATGTGAAGGTTATATGTAAATACTACACTATTATATGGAGGGTTTGAACATCCATAGACTCTGGTTCCCTTAGGTGTGTAGAATCCAATCCCTCAGGCTTGAGACAGGGTTTCTCTGTGTATGCCTTCCTATCCTGGAACTCACTCTGTAGACCAGGTTTGTCTGGTGTACCACCATCACCCTGTGTGTTCCATTCTCTTGTAAAGCTCAGATGTTGCACAGTGGTAGAACACACTTAGGTAGCACTAGTGACACCTGTTTGGCAAAAATCTCAGCCCAGGCCCATTATCAACATTAGAGAGAATCTGACAATAAATAACACCAGGGGCCTTTGAGGATTGTTTTTAGATTTTTCTGTATTATTCTTCTAAAACGTTTTATCTATTAAGGATGGGGGTTTTATTGACCTTTATTATCAATTCTCCTTAAAGGTAATTATCCATCAGTTTGTAGTAGTTCCATGAGTCTACCTGCAGGGTACCATTTGACCTATTGATATAATTTTAAGTGATTTCCTACTGGTAGAGTTACTAAAATACGGTTAGTTTTCACTTTAAGCAATTACATGTCTGGAAAGCATTTTGAATTTCCAGATGACCTTTTTGTTTATTTGTTTTTGAGACAAAGTCTTACACAGTTGTTACAAGCAGTTTTTCCTCCAGCTTGGTCCCAGAGCCACATTAGACCCAAAATAACACACAGAGATGCTATATTAGATATAAAGCTGTTAGCCTGGCATTTCTTATTGGCTAGCTCTGTCTTAAATATTAACCTATTTCTATCAATCTAAGTATTTCCACGTGGTCTTATCTTACCAGAGAGAGGTTCTGGACCTCTTTCTCTCAAGTAGCTACATCTTGAATCTTCACTACATCTCCCGGAATCCTTCTTGTCTCCTAGTCCCACCTATCTTGCCTTCCTATTTGCCAACAGTGGTTATTCATTAACCAATAAAAGAAGCATATTTATAAAATGACATCTCCCATCACCTCCTCTTTTCTGTTTAAAATAAAAAAAGGGTTTTAACTTTAACATAGTAAAATATATAATAAAACAGTTATCAAATAAGAACTATTCTTAACAATATTTAGTCCATTAACATTTAGCAAGATTTAAAAAAATATTCTATCCTATCTTTGTAATTCTAAAGTCTTATATGTAATTAATCTTTAATCCTAATTAAGGAAAACTGTAACCATAACTATCTGTCTTCAGCTCATTCAAAGACCACTAGAAATGACAGAGACATCGCACTACCTGGTCAGTCACCTGAAGTTCTTCTGTAATCTTCCATAGGCCATAGTGTGTCTGGCTGATTCCTCAGCAATGCAGGAAACTTTAAACTGTCCACCTGTTATTTGCAGTTTGTCAGTCACTTTTCTCTGTGTCCTGCAGAATGTCTGGCAAACTCTTCCATGAAGCAGCAACCCTGTAGCAATCTCCATCTTGTATCAGTAGTCACTTTCCTGTGGGTCCTGCATGTTGAGTTTATACAGCATTAAGTCAAACAGTCCAGACAAGAGCAATATCTTGCCCAAATGGCTAGTCTTGCCATATTGAAAGCAAGAGTTTCTTTGATGTCCATCTTCCTTTCTGACGCAGGTGGCATTGCCAGGAGCTGTTGTGTCTCACTGTTAAAAAAAGAAATACCTAAACCATTTTAAATGCCATATTCTGTAGGTCTTTGAAAGGCTTGAAGAATACCTATCCATTTGAAATATATTTCTGTATATCTAGAAGACCTAACTAAACTATAAGTTTTGACTATTATAGGTGACTATCTATATAATCTGTACTTAATTATACATACATTTTTAAAATGAGCTATATAAACAATACCACAGAATTGACCTTAAATTGTATCAATAAGCACTGATGTTACTCCTTCTGGAGTCTATCCTCCTCGGATAATGGCCTCTTGGGCAAAGACCTACCCTCACTTTGACCACTGACTTGCACATGATGTCCTACTGTGCTTGCAGGAGACAAACATAGAAGACTGCTGAACCTTGCCAAGTCAGGGTAAGACAGCCTTGTTACGAGTAGTTTTTCCCTGCTGGCCTGGACCCACCATGGTGCCAGCCCCAAATATCACACTGAGATACTGTATTTGATATAACACTGTTGGCCAGGTACTAGTTTCTTATCAGCTAGCTCTGTCTTAATTATTAACCCATTTCTATTAATCTAAGTATTTCCACGTGGTCCTATCCATCTCAAATACATCTTGAAAACCCTTTCAACTATGCTACAGTTTTTTTGTTTTGTTTTTCTAGACAGGGTTTTTCTTTATTGCTTTGGACCCTGTTCTGGAACTAGCTCTGTAGACCAGGCTGGCCTTGAACTCACAGAGATCCACCTGCCTCTGTCTCCTGAGTGCTGGGATTAAAGGTGTGTACCACTAATGCCCGGTGCTACAGAGTTTTGTATCTTTAAATTTTCTTCGCAGGATTTCTAGTGAATTTGTCCATTCCTTTTCATGGATTGGGATGTATATTTGAGTCATAAAGTCAGTATTTTAGATTTTGTAGGCTGTATGGTCTTATTACAAACTACCTGACTGCCATTGAGCACAAAAATATTGTTCAATTGACAACAAAAACATTTAAGTAAATTTAAGGGAATATAATTGTATTATAGTAAGACTGACAGAAGACCTTCTAAGTTCATAGTACACTTTCAAATCTTTTATAGAAAAGAAGCGACAGTTTGAAATGAAAAGGAAGCTTCACTACAATGAAGGACTGAATATTAAATTAGCTAGACAGTTAATTTCAAAAGACCTGCATGATGATGACGACGAAGATGAAGAGATGTCAGAGACTGCAGATGGGGACAGCATGCATATTGAAGAGTCAAATCAAGGTCAGATACCTTAAAAGTATCACTGTCATATGGTTTTTTATTTACTTGGCTTTAAAGATATTTTTCTTGACTGTATGAAGTCATGTTTTATTTAATAAGAAAATCTAAATTAAAGCTTTAAACTTTTTACCTGTTTTTGTTGTTTTGTAGTGTTGAAAATTGAACCCAGAGCCTCACATAATACTATTAGAACTCATTTTTAAAAAGTGGTTTTTATTTTGTTTTTTGTTGAGGAGTGTTGTTTGTGGCTATTTTACATGGGTTTTTGGGTTTGGGTTTTGATGAGATGGTCTTGTCCTACAACACAGGCTACTACCTTGAAATCAAAGTAGTCTTTGTCTCAGTCTCCCAAGACATTAACTGCCATGTTTTCTCAAAAGCCATGTTTTTATATAGAAGATTTGTTTTGACATTCCTCTAGGTACAAGTGTGTCATCTTTTCAATGTTAGTGTTGTATTTACTATAATGACAATGGGTTTTTGTTTGTTTTCTTCCTCCCTCTCCCCCCCCTTAAAGTTTGAGTTAGAACCAAGCCATGACGTCCACAAGAACTTCATTCCAGCTCCCTCAACCCCTAAGCAATGGGTTCCAGGTGTCTGCCATCACATCCAACTTTTCCTTCTTTCTCTTTCTTAAGTCTTAGGCTACCTTATGCAGCCTAGTAATTAACAGTCATAGGAAATATATTTTATTTCATTTGTTTTTGAGGTACAGGTATATATCTACCACTGAAGTATATACCCCAGCCCCTAATTCTCATCATCTATTATTCTATGTTTAACAAAAGTGAGCCAGGTACATTATCACACATCTGTAATCCAGTACTAATGTTGTCTTCAGGATTGCTGTGAGTTCAGGTCAATCAGGATTATAGAGTATAGACTCAAAAATGTAGTGGCTATTCTACCCCACAATTGAAGATGTTGTGTGTATTCACTACCTTTTCTTTGTACTTGTAAGTTGATAGTTTTTTTTTGTTTTGTTTTGTTTTGTTTTTGTGGCAGTATAATTTTTCTGTTTGTGCCTAAACTGGTTCACATCGTTGTTATATTTTAATGCATACTATGAAATAGGAGTAATTCTGTGATCTGAGATGGTAAGTCGTTGTCTCATTATAGCGTCAGAATTACAGTATTTAACTCTTGAACATACTTCATCCTAGTAATTGCTGAATCTTTTTTTTCTATTATCTGTTTTTAATTGATCAAAAAATAAGGGCTGGGGTGTACTTCAGTGAGTGGTAGAGTGCTAACAAACATAATGTCTCCTAATTGCCCTGAAGTCTTTGTTTCCCACCCCAGCCCCCCAAGTTCTCAAGAAACTTCTCATCAACTTAATTCAGACTTTGACTTTTGCTGTCAGCTCTTAGTGTGTGTTAATAAGTTGGGAACACTCCTCGTTTGTTGATTAAACTTTTTACCCAACTCAGCACAAGTAGTAAAGAATAAAGAAAAGTCAGTCTCCCTTCCCCTCTCTCCATAGCTTTATTATTATTATTATTTGAGAATTTTACATGTATTTTGGTTATATCTATTCCCCAGGTCTTCTAACTCCTCCCAGACTTAGCACTCTCTCAACCCACTGAATCCAGTTCACGCTGTCTGCATGGACCTAAGTTTAGGGTCATTCACTGAAAAGGACAACATATGAGAGCCCACATCTTTGAAGATAATGACTCCCCAACAGCCATCAACTGCTAATGTAACCTTAGTTAGGGGTGGGGAGTCTTGTGCCTCCTACATCCGTAGTGGAGTGTTGGCTGGCTTGATGTTGCGCGGGCAACCACAGATACTTGGAGTTCTTGAGTATGATGGCCCTGTCATGTGCAGAAGACACTGTTCCAAGTTGTCCTCCCCAGCTTTGGTTCTTGCCAGTTCTGTGTCCCTGAGCCTTGAGGAGCTGCTCCATGATCACTTACTGTCTGTACTCTGACCAGTTGTAAGTCTCTGTCTACTACATAAGGAAGCTTCTCTGATGAGTGGTGCGGCTGCCCAAATCTGTGTCTAATTGTTCTTGAAAATTAGCTGTCTTTTGTTCATCTCTGCTTATAAGACATTAAACGTCATAGACTATATGTAGAGATCATTTTCCCAGGCAAATATACTAGAAAATAAAATTTTGTGTTCCCTGAGTTTTCTGAAGCAGAAACTAAAGTATAAAGTACCCTCATTTAGGAGTATAACTTTCATGGCATCATAAAAGTACACGAGAGTAGGGAAAACTCTACACTAAGCTTAGTGAGACCTTTAAAGCCCCCATATTCTGTAAAATTACTACTTTGTAAGCATGGGCAGTTTCCTTCTTCTTCCCCTCTTCCTTCTTTTTGCTTCCATAAAGAGAGAAGTATTTGGATTCTGGATTTTGTAGTTATCAGGTAATGTGATTTTTTTTTTTTTTTTTTTTTTTTTTTTTTAGTACCAGGTAGTTGGAACTGTAAAACTTAACTTTTCTCCTGTGATTACTCAAACCAGTGTCCATTCTGAAACCTGTTTGTCCTGTCTACACATATATTCCTACTGTATAATATTTAATGGTATGTTTAGAGTCTTTCAAATCAGTCAAATTTAGCTACATGAAATACACCTTACTGATTTATTAAATTTTTTTACATTTGCCTATTTCCCATGCCAGGGGAGAGTGTTTAAACTCAGGTATAATTTCATAGTTGGTCATAGTTTTTGTTTGCTTTGAGGAAAGAGTTGAGGAAACAACCTAACAGGATTGCAGGGAGAGGTTCACAGTTTCTGAGTTTTCAGTCCATGCTTATTGGATCTGTTACCATAGACCTGTGGTGAGACAGGGTGCATCATGGTGAAGCAAGGAGGGCCAGGGCACAATATATAGCCTCTCGGATAGTGTCCTATTCCTTTAGCTTAAGCTCTCTTTCTAGTACCTCCCAAAGTGGAATCAATCCCTCAGCACATGAGCCTGTAGGTCGTTCACATTCAAACCATGATAGCAAATTATACTGATGTTTTTCTCCTTTTATCTTTCTTTGCAGGATCTACTGCAAGTGACCATCTGCAAAACAAATCACCAAGTACATAAAAGAATTGTGTTCAGCAGTCGTTTGTCAAATACAAACCTTGTTACTATACAACATTGCTTCTTGTTCTCTACAATTTGTGACTTACGTACCAAAATACACACCAGTTATATATTGCCAAGAATTAAGTGATAACCATAGAGACTGATTAGACAGAAAATGCCTAATTAATACATATATTCTTGTGCCTCATACTTCACCAGATATACAGTGTAATGTCATTAGTCCAAAACTGCTTTACTTTTGTAAGAACACTGGTTAATTTGTATATGATATTATATAGCTTTTTATGCTTTAGAGATTAAATAATGTCATTGGGGGAAAACTAATTTATTTTTGTCACTTCTAGATGATGGTACCTCTTATAAAATGTTTGGAGGGTAATTTGATGTTTTTTCTTCTTTTAATCAAAAGCCTATTAGTACAGTGGGATATATAGGTGGAAAAAAATATTAGGCAGAAAGATATTTTTTTTAACATTTATATTTAACTTGTTTTGGCTAATTAAGCAGAAGTCCAAGAGTTACTGTTCATATTCTGATTGATGACCTTTAAAATTCTTTTTGATTTTATTTGTTCTTGAAAGGAAAGGAGAAAGGAAAGGAATGGTTTCTAGTTTCCCCCCACTTCCAACCACGCTCAAATGAATTACTGGGTTAAGGTTGCATTGACATCTGCCCTGCTCATTTTGTTATGCTGGGCAGGCTTCAGATGAGGTTTGTAATACCGTGTGCTATCTCAGCGTTCCTTTATTTATATACCTGTCTTAACCTGCTCTTGTTTCCTTCTCCCTCTACACATAAAATTGTAAAGATTGTATTACAGGGTGGCAAAGGCTGTTGGCCATGAGGAACTTGTCTTCCCTCACATATTCTGTCTTTGCTGCAGTAATGACTTCTCATTACTTTGATACCTGCTAGTTCTAAACATGAAGGAAATAGATGAAGTATCCACACACAACAGGAAGGGCAGCTTAAAGCAGCCTAATCTCCCTGTACCTCTCTGATTGACAGCTTGGTCAGGAAATTGCTACTATTGCTTTGTTTGACTTCAATCCTTAGGAAACAATTAACTGAAGCTCTTTTGCACAGTGAAAGAATTGTATGTAATCAGAATATGATCGTTCTTGAATATACAGACAGAATTATGCCTGAACAGTTTTAAGTTTAGAGATTCTGAGGAGTCCTTCTGTTAAGGGAATGTGATAATGCACACTATAACAAATGAACTTGATTCCTCTAACATGATAAAAATTATTTGGAATTTTTTCCCCTGAGAGGAAAAGTGTAGTTAGTTCCTGTGTGTCTTAGTTTAGTGATTATTTCCTTTGTAGTCATTTATTTGTATTGTAAGTTTTTGGTAGCACCACCAAATGAATCTGTTATATGACAGACAGACTTTTAAAATAACTTCTGTATATTATATATATATATATATGAAATGGCTTTTATTGAACAGCTATCTTCCACTTTAAAAAAAAATAAGTATTTTATAGTTATCAGGTAATGTGAATGTCATGATGTCAAAATAAAAGAAAAGTGGGAAGAGTCTTTGCTGTTAGAAGAATATGCTTATTTGGAATGTCTTTTTTTTTTTTTTTTTTTTTTTTTCTTTATGGGATCAAACCAGAGTAGCTCTGAAATGTTAGTACAGTATTTTAACCGACCATTTTAGATAGTGAACCACTGATGTACACACTAAGCAATGTATACATATCTTTGTAAATTAAGCCTGTTTGTGAGGTGTGGAAATACTGTTTGTGTGTGTGTGTGTGTGTGTACATGAGAACCTGAGTTTGAATCCTCCAGCACCCAAAAAGCTACATATGATCATACATACCTAATTCTAGAGCTAGGGAGGCAGAGATAGCTGGATCCCTGGAAGTTGCTATCCAGCCAACCTTGCTGAATCAGTGAGCTCCCTAATACCCTGTCTCCGAAAATAGGGCTGAAGGTGATTGAAGAAGACACCTAGCATCCATCTGTGGGGCTCTTTGAGCATGTGCACAAGAGCATGAAGACACACACCACAGAATAATAAAGTCCTGGGATTGATTCCCCATCACCAACAGAGTGGTGGTTAGGACTGGTTCTATAAGATGGCTTCAGTGGGTCAAAAAGCTTGCCACATAAGCCAGATAAACCTGAGTTTTATCCCCAGAATTATGGTCAGAGGAGAGAATCAAGAGTTGACCTGTGACCTCTACCCATGTGCCATGGCATGCAGCCTGCCTATTGGGTGTGTGTGCGTGAGCCACATGACTATACATACATGTACTTATTTGTTACTGGGTGTGTACTTTTGTAAAATTTTTAAACTTTTTTACTTCCTCTGCTTAACACTTTGATATCACCCCAGTTTAATTATTAACCCATCACAAAATCAGTGGGGATAGTAGTTTAAGACATTAGTGTTGAAGGGTATAACAAGATGCTATTTCCCCCTAAACTTTCATTTTTAAATATTTTCCCTTTGTTGGAATGCACTATACATATTATAATGAATATAATATGAAATTGGTACAGCCTGGTCTACAGAGCAAGTTCCAAGACAGCCTCCAACGCTACACAGAGAAACCCTGTCTCAAAAAAAAAAAAAAAAAAAAAAAAAAAAAAAACAAAAACAAAAAAAAAGAAAGGGAAAAAAAATTGGCCTGTGTGCAAATTTTTGTTGGTTTTCCAGACAGGGTTTCTCTGTGTAGCCCTAGTTGTCCTGGAACTCACTATGTAGACCAGGTTGGCCTCTAACAGATCCACCTGCCTCTGCCTCCAATGTGCTGGAATTAAAGGCATGCACCACCATCGTCCATCACCTAACCCAGATATTTATTTTCCATTTAACAGCTATCTCAGTATCATAGTCCATTAACCGAGTGTTGTAAATACCAGGGTAGATCTGGGACAGTGTTGTAACTGAGGCATATGTTCAGTTGTAGAAATGATACTAGGGAGTTGGGTATGGTGTTACTCCAGCTACTTGGTAGGTTGAGGTGGAGGATCACAAGTTCAAGGCTAACCTGGGCAACACAGACTATGTCTCATGAAGAGAAAAAAATAAAAGGTTGAAATTATTGAGAACTACCATTTATTGAGAACCAGCATGGTATTAGGCCCCTTATTTCTAACCCTTAAAACCACAGGAAGCAGGTATTCTACTCTTTGCAAGTGAAGAAAATACTCCTGTTAAAACTGTTCAGTTTCACTGGGCGGTGGTGGAGCATACCTTTAATCCCAGTACTTGGGAGGCAGAGGCAAATGGATCTATATGAGTTCAAGACCAGCATCTTCAAGAGCTAGTTCTAGGACAGGCTAAAAAGCTGTCTCGAAAAACCAAACTAATAAAAATAAAAGCTGTTAAGTTTCAGACTCTTCACATGCAAAATAACAGGTTTCAAATCCAGAGCTAACCAAATTTTAGGAACTTGAGTCTATGTAAATTTAGATACAGACAGTGCATTTTTTAGTATTTGTACCTTACAGATAACCTTAGGTCAGTGGTGCATACTGTCTACTTTGGGAGGAATGTTTCTCAAGTAGTCTTGAGTTTGTTTTTGGGTGGGTGGGTGTGTTCAGATGCTTGTTCACTTGGGCATGTGTGCATGTAGGAGCCAGAGATCAGTTGTGAGTGTCATTCTTCAGGAGCTATCCAGGTTAGTGACCTGGATCTCACACAGTAGGTTTCCTGGCATTGAGACCTGGAGATTTGCCAGTCTCTGCTAATGCTGGGCTTAAATAGTGGGTGTATGCCTAGCTTGCTCACTCGCTCTCTCCCTCCTACGGGTTCTGTAGCTCAAACTCAGTTACTTGTAATTAATTGCAAGTCAAGTATTTCACCCACTGAATTATCTCCTTGACTTTCTCAAATCTGAAAAATAAAAAGTTCAATAGGTGTATATATAGAAATATTTAGGAAAATGAGAAACATGTATGCTTGATGGCTGGACATGTCTAAATGCACTTATTGGTTGTATTCTATGTGCTTTTTAACCATACTCTTAAATCACTCAGAATCATGATTTTCCTCCATAGAACTAGTATTTTAAATTCAGATACCATGTTGACAACATGTAGGCTGGAGAGATGGCTCAGCAGTTAAGAGCACTTGCTGTTTTTTCAGAGGACTCAGGTTCAATTCCCAGCACCCACATAATGGATGACTCACCCCCATCTGCAACTCCCATTCCATGGTCTTTTGACTTCCTCTTCTGGAAAGCTACCCAGACATAGGGTACACAGACAAAATATCTGTATGTGTAAGATTTAAAAAAAAAAAAAAAAAAAAAAAAAGTACCTAAACCGGCAGTTCCCGAAGTGTACTATCAAATATGTTCCCATACTGTAGAGGCTGGGGACAGAGCTTAATGGTAGAACTTATGTCTAACTGTTTTAAAGCCCCAGTTCAATCCCTAGAGCCAAAAAGTAAAGCAAAGAATGGTCCATAAGACTTACTTACCTAGCTGTGATCCTAGTACTTGGGAAGCTGAAGCAGGAGAGACATGATTTCAAAGCCAGCCTGGGTTCTGTATTAGGATCCTGCCTCAAGCAAACAAACACCTTTGGTAAATCTTGATTAAAGAAATTTGTTTGAAGATTAATGAAGCACTTCTCAAATGGATTTTACAAAAGCCACCCTACCTTATCTATCAGATAACATCCCAAGCAAGAGGCCAGGCCCTCCTGGGCTTTATAGAAAGTGAGAGTTAGCTTAGGTGTAGTTTGCCAAACATAAGCCTTAGAAAACTGTAAAGTGAGTTTCTAGGAAGGAAGAGTGGTCACTGGCTGGTTATAGCCATTGTAGTTGAGTGCTGGGTGACTGCTACTTGCTGGGAAAGCATAAAATGGCCTGCCAGTGTCTCTGCGGCTGATGCTCCTAAACTTGGTTAGTTGGACTTTTAGCTCCTGTATTTTAAATTTGTGTTTGACTCATCTTGGTTTTTATTTGAGGCATTGGGGGAGGTAATGATAAGACTAGGTAAGTGAGGGTGGATTTGGCAACTGTGTAGTCATGATTTTATCACAGCTGTCCAACCTGAAATTATTTTCAGTGTGAGTCTGCCAGGCATTTCAGTTGTTAGCAACCAGAGTTATTGAAACTGGAAGAGAATTTCTGTAAGTTATTATCGCCCTATTATTTCTGGGTTGGTGACAGTGTTGACTAGAAATAGATTGTGTGGGCTAATTTTTTTTTTTTTTTTTTTTTTTTTTTTTTTTTTTTATCTTTATATCACTTGACCTCACTTTAAGGGGAAAAAAAACTATGGAAAGCTTTGCAGTATGCAGTGTGTTTTTACTTGTTTAAATAAAATAGTTCAATGTGAAAATGTGTTACTAGTAAAGAGCCAACAAACATGAAAGTATAGTTGCTTTCATTACACTCTGAAGCATTCTTTGCATGAGCAATTACATAAAGTATTTTCTTCCGTCTCCCTATGTAGAAGAGACACTCATTCGAAAGCTAAGCACTGTTCTTTGTAGTGCACCATGTCAAGCTAAGTGGAGAAATAGGGGTTTAAGATTCATTCTCATCTATAAAGATTTTTCAAGCTTATGTGAGCATCCCTGGCAAAGGGAGCACTGTCGAGAACAAGGGAGGTGTGAGGATTTGCTCACTCAGCCATCTGAGACTTCTTTCCTGACTTTGTTGTTGTTTTGTTTTGTTTGTCTTTTAAGACAGTATGTAGTTTGACTGCCCTAGAGCTTGCTGTGTAGACCACTCATTGAGATCCCCCTGCCTCTGCCTTCTGAGTGCTATGATTAAAGGTCTGTGCCACCACACCTCAGCAAGATGGGTATTTTATAATTAGCAAGACTGCTACTTAGCAGATTTTCATGCAAATTTCCTTAAAACTGAATTAAGATATATTTAGTCAACTACCACAAAATTGTTACTAAGCAAAAGAGAACATTTTCTTAAAAATAAAAAATGCAAGTCATTGCTATTACCACTGCCTTATACAAAATGTTAGATTTCAGCAGTTAAAATACATTTTGGATTGTTGCCCATAAATTACCTCCCAAATGTCTAGGTTGGGTTTTTGAGGGCCAGGAGACTAAGAAAGGAGGGTCTTGGTTGGGCCCACAACATGGTCCCACTCTAGTTTAAAACAAACTTTTCTAAGATAATTTGGGAAAGCAAGTAGGTATCACTCCTTAATGAGTGTCTGTATTTTTCCTGGAAAATTGTAACGTCTGTAATCAAATGTCAGAAGTTGTCATCCTGCTTTTCTTCTTCTTCCTCCTCCTCCTTCTCCTCCTCTTTTTTTTTTTTTTTTTTTTTTTTTTTTTTTTTTTAATAACCCCTTCTGAGACAAGAGATTCTCTGTGTAGCCCTGGCTGTTCTGGAACTTACTCTGTAGACCAGGCTGGCCTCAAACTCAGAGATCCACCCGCCTGCCTCTGCCTCCTGAGTGCTGGGTTTGAAGGCTTGTCATCCTGCTATTAATCTAAAAGTATTCAGGGGTGGTGGGGGTGACAGATAACTGAAATGCAGAGTGAATTGAATCTAAAGTAGTACTTAAAGATTTTTATGAGCCAGGTGTTGGTGCAGAGGCAGAGGTAGGTGGATCT